CCTAATCATTCTCCCTCCCCTTGAACTTTAGGCCAAATCCAAATCCCTTTATTGGCATAAAAGAAAAGCAAAATACCACAAGACAAGTTTACAGAGAATTTGAATTATAAAATTAGTCAAACATGATAGAAGAGCTAATCTTTTGCTCCCTGATTATTATGGCATCCAAAAGGTACCTTGTAACTGAGCTTGTAATATGGGGACATTGGTCAGATAATAAGAATGATACTAACTTCGCCTCAGAAAAACCATGGCAGGTTGAACTTTAGGCAATTTAATGGAATCAAGTCAAAGACACTTTCAAGAAAAAACATTTTCACAAGGCTAGTGAATATCAAAATTATTTTTGAGAGCTACCTGAATTTAGGAACATTCTTAACATCGCCCTTTGACTCTGAAAACAGCATTTTTTCCTGATCTCCAAAATGGTTTCCTTGTGGCCATTATTTAACATCAAAAACAGTTTAATCAATGATAACTAATCCAGCAAGACAAAACTCTGCTTGGAAACATCAGTAGAATGCAATGAGGACCTAATTATAGTTTTAGGGGTTACAAGGAGTTCCTATTTTGTTATTGAGCAAGCTTTAATGCAATACAGCAACAAAGCAATATTGAGGTCTAAGAAGCTCTACAATCTCAAAAATGGTCTAAGCAAGAAGGTAGCAATGTTTTCCCCTTTGCATGGGCTTAAACCTGGCAAGTACACAGTAACATAATTTACTGTTAGTTCTACCTTCCTGTATCAAATCTTGCCAATAATTTGGGTGGGGGGTATGTAAGATTTTGGTATGAATCTACATAGCAAAAAGATTCAAGTCCAATAGCATTTCAGACACCAATAAGATTGGGGGGGGGTAAAAGCTTTCAAGAGTCAAAGCCCTTGGTGCTACACACATAAGTCGTAAGAGAAAGTCAACTGCTTATATTTCCATTGATCCAACTTTGGCAATATGCACAAGCTGGAAGGAAGCTTTTGTGAGCTTAAGCTAAGGCTTAATTCAACAAAATGCACTATGTTCCCCAAAAGGGGGGCATTCATATACATTAGATAAGGTTCTTTATATATCCCCAGTATGTCTTTTTTAAAAGACTGATTGCCAAAATATGATTGAAGACTAGATTTAAAAAATCAGTTAAGAACATAAGAAGTACCTTGATGGATCATACCAATGGTCCACCTAGTCCAGCATCCTGTCTCACACAGCGGCCAACCAGTTCCTCTGGACAGCTAACAGGGCATAGAGGATAAGGCCTTCCCCTGATGTTGCCTCCTGGCTCTGGGATTCAGAGGCTTAGTGCCTCTGATTGTGGAGGGTCCTATTAGTCACCATGGCTAGTAGCCATTGATAGAATTGTCCTCCATTAATTCCAAAGAATTTGCCTCTGTAGCCAAACCCACCCTTTGGTAATGCATGATTAAACATGAGCATAAAAACTCTTTCCTTGAGCCATTCTGATGGGCAAGAGCTCTGTAGGATCCCTGGTAAAGGTCTTTCACATAACCTGCTACCTGCTCCTTTTGACTGGAGATACTGGGGTATTGAATTTAGGAGCTTCTGCATGCAAACCCAGATGCAATACTACTGAGCTACAGCCCCCCCCCCACCCGCCAGCATTTACTCACCAATTCCAGCAAATGCCCTTTGCTGCCAATAGCAGATTTACAGAAACACCCAGTATGATTTAAGAAATCCCATTTGTGGAGCTGATACAGTAGAGGATATCTTTTGCGACTTGATTGTCCATAATGAGGCCAGAAATAATTTCTGCCCTCAACTTCCATTTAACTTGTTAAATTTTTTGCAGACCTCACTATTTGCTGCATATAATGACAGACCTGATACAGCAAAAGAAAAACCTCATTTGCATTTGCAGCAGAGAGAAGCAGGACAACATTGCATGAATGCTCATGGGGTAGATGATTATTTGTCTTTCATACAGGTTTTGTAATCACTTGCATTTTGCACTTGTTCTTTTGACTGGCACACTTGGTTTCATTATGACCTAAATCTATGGTCCAGGCAAACATTTGAAGAACAGAATACAAAACAGACATGCTAACAGATCTTCTTTCCAAGATCATGCACACATGCTATTCCAATATAATGGGGCAAAACGGAACAAGACGTTCAGAAGCCTACTGAGCATTCTTGGCATATTCACCACAGATAGCCAGAGGGCTCTCCTTGTTTAAACTGGGAGCTTAAGAAAAGATACCCTTCTAAAATGTCTACTGCAACAAACTACAAAAATAAGCATAGGTGTTCAGATCAGATTTATTGTTACCGTCAACGACCAGCACAACAGGTGTTCTGTATTCCTAGGACTGATGTGGAGTTTAAAGCCTACTCAGAGATACCAATGTGTGCGTGTGTGTGTGAGTGGGGGGGGGGGGACTGAATTGGCACCAACATGTTACAGGGAGGCAAACGAGCTTCTTTACCACAGGCTTAGAATCTAGTTGGTGAGCACGAGATCACAACTAGTTCAATTAATAAAACATTTGTCTCAAAATTTAATACACAGATCCCTAGTATCTGGATAGTGAAATATTTTAATAAGCTTAATATGGCCAAACGCCATCTCTGAATCATGGACCCATGCAATCACAGTCTGAGCAACAGAATCCTGAATGATCCTACCCCAAGTGGAATGAATTCTACTCTGCACCTCTGCATACATCTTTTATCTTGTATACACTTGATTCTCAGACTATGCTATATATAAATATCTACAAATATACAGATTTATAGGCAGCCCCCCCTCCCCCCCACCCCCAACTGGCAGACAGAGTGCATACTGTACATATAACACACACCACTCATCTACATTGTCATTTAAAAAAGAAAACAAAAAGCCCCCACCATATTTTCAGGCACAAGGGGACCACGAGACCAAAGCACCACAGAAGAAAACGCACCAGTGCTTGTTAACTAAACCTAGCCCACTTCAGGCTATTTTGCTATTCAACTACTCTCAAGTGCCAATTGAAAGCGAAGGCATTCTCAAGTCAAGCTATTAGGGTAGCAAAAGCTCTGCAAACTCTGTTCCCATTGCTTACGTCCCCATTGCACTTTATGCCCGACCTAAGGCACCTTTTGTCATCACTCTTAAGCACTGCCTTTCCCAGCCTTGCAGTGGACCTCAATCCCCCTCGCTCCCAAATTGCTGGCCATTTCCTCTTATCCTGGGCAGTGGTTGAGATATGTTTGCATGGCAGCCTGCTCAAAAATACCAAGCAAAGGAGTATTTACTTTAAGAGAACATCCAATGAAGGGGGAAACAAACCTTGTTTCCACAGCTTCAGTTCAACCTCAGCTTTGTGGGGGGACGACGACACATTTCCTATTGAGCTCAGAGAAATCCTATAATCATATTCCAAAATGCACTAAGGTTAAAAGAGTGCTTGGATTTGTGTGCTCTCTCTGTCGGTTAAACCTGAATATACTGGACAATGACCAACTGGACTCTGGGTCCAACGGCAATGTGATAATTAACACAACAGCCTCACAGCAACCCATCCAGGACCATCTGAGCAACTGCGACATGGAAATAAGAGGCCTGCACCGTCAGTTGCCAGAACATCTCTGCACCTTGTTTCTCTTATCTTAAAACTGTTTATATGTTAGGCTGCAAAGCATGAATATCTTCCTTGGTATCAATATTTTCATGGTACAAAGCACTTGTTAACTGAAAGCAGACTGAAAAGAAAAACATGCATGACAGAACCTTGACGCCCTCAGGATGGTTCTGCTTCACTGTAGACTTTTGGGACAGACCTCCACAACTACAGCAATTGGTCGAATTGCAGCTCATCTTAAAGCTGGGCGCAGAGGACAATTTGAGAGCAGCACCCTTCCTCAGCATCCCTTTCCTTTCTCCCTCCACAAGCACTTCCATGCTCTCCGTTGTACTCCTAACGTGGGGCTGATTTCCTGGCCGCCACCCATTTGGCTTCTCAGAAGCTCCAGAACCCCAGCAAATGCCCTCCCTTCAACAGCTATGAGATTCCTGCAGCCCAAATAAGCACTTAAGGGGCCCTACTTGTAAAGGTACTGTGCACCCCGTGCTATCGTCTCATCCAAACTCTTGCAAGATTTCACACTTCTCATAATGAGGGAGAAGTGAGCCTTTCTCACATCTGTAACAAGGATTTATTTCAAGCTGCCACGGAGGCCAGGCAGTGATTTACATTTGTTGCCACACTACAGCATGAATTTGTGTCATTAGTCATGAAACGGGGATGAACAGCTCTCTTGGATCTAGAGGAATGCCATGAAAGATTCTCTCACAGTCAAAGGGTGGCAGTGGAAATTCAAAGCAGCTCCTTGCCATGTGTCCTTGTGCAGGGAAAGGCTGGTATTTTCCATTCCTAGGCATGACTCTGGCCAAAGCTGGGGAATGGTACTCATTTTGTGTGGTGGAGGAAGGCAGTTCTTCCTTGAGCAATTCAGAATCCAAACTGACTGGTCCTAACCATCCTCCTGAAGCAGAAGGGTCATGGCTCTGCAAGAGGCACAGAGGGTGGTCCAGTAAAGGGCTGGGGGGCAATTTATCGACGGGGTAATATGCCCTAAACCAGTCATTTCAGGCCCAAAGGGGATGTCCTGCATTCTTAGCCAGCAAGTGACTTAGCTTTATATCAGAATATGGAATCTGTGGGGATCACTACGTTTTCTGGGATCACTCCAGCATCCCTTCAGATATTATGCTCCCTCTTGAGTTGATCAAGTGTATTGTCTTGAAAGACTTGTTTATTGCTATCGCCGCTTTGCAGGGTGTCGTCCCACCATTCACATTTTAAATCCAGAATCTTTGGGGACAGAAGATCATTTTCTTCTTGGACTTTTTTTTGCTTCCAATTTTTTTCTAAAAATTGTACAAAAATAAAGAATTTCCACACACGTGGGCTAAAAGTGATAGCATTTAAATACTTAGCATCATTTGTGATATGGTTAGTTTCAACCATTAAAATCAAAATTTAAAACCAGGGGGGATATCTTTAGTCTTAAAATTTTAAAAGATGCAGAAGGGTTTAGTATATAAAATTGACCCATACAGAATGGAACAGCTGTGCCTACAGCCATTTTATTTTTTAAAAAAATAATCATAAATTTAAAAATAAAAATCAAGTAAATTCCTTTTGTGGATCTTCACATTAGAAAACTGCACCATTTCAAAAGCCTGTGGCCAGGAACACCCCTCTGCAGTAAGAAAGCCGGAACACGTTTCCATTTTAATAATCATCGAGGGTGGTTTCCAGGAACACGTTTCGAACATCCAGCATGGAAGCCAACTCCAAAATGTGCTTTTGGAGGTGTGGGTTCTCCACAGTTTCATCCCTTGGCAGCTGGGGATAGGATTCTGGATAATTTCTAGTTTCCTGCTATGGAAAGAAGTGGGGAGAACAGAAGACAGAACAGCATTTTAATAAGCCAGTATAGTCATCATACAGAAGGGAAACACATGACTTTGCACAAAGCTGACTGTTGCGTCACATAGGCTCTATACTGTTCTCCACAACTCATGTGTATCTGTCGAGTCACTAATATGAAACTGAGAAGGAAAAGGTCGGGGAATGGACAGAAGATTACACCAGGATATGGTGTCTTTGGCGCTCCTGAAAACTATTATTTCTGTAAGGCCTTCCACACAGTGGGAAAACTGAATCAAACACCCATTCATTTCAATTATAGGTTAATGCATGTACAGATGTATATGTAAAGTGCCATCAAGTTGCAGCTGACTTATGATGACCCCACACAAATACACACACAGAAATCTAGAAGCATCCCTCCATCTTGCTGCATTCTGAATCACTTCACAGTTATTTGTTTAAAATGCTTAAAGTATCAGTAAACATCCAGTGAAGTATTCTAGACACATATGTATATAGACTGGGAATCAAAGAGTTACTTTAAGCCACACCTAAGGAGTTAGAATACACAGTAGGATTTTTTTAGTTTTGTTCTGATTATCAGGTCCTCAAGCCATATCACAATCTCCTTCTGAAAAGCCTTGCAGTTTCAAGAGAAGTCTGCTATTTGGGAGAGGGGAGTGGTAGTTCCAGAAACTCAAAACCCGTGTTAGTATCAAAATAAGCTGATGGTTAAATCCTGGCTCTAGCCTTTCCCAGTTTTGGCAAAACGTTCCTTCCGCTCTGGACTTTGTAAATCTTCTCACTATAGTTAACTTTAGCAACATTACACACCCTGAGATTTAAACCAGTAATTATTCTGTAGTATGTATACAACGACCAAAAGCAGGAGCTGCAAATGGTTTCAGTGCTTTTGGCAGAGACAGTAAGTTAATGGAGTTAGATGACGGTAGAAGTATCTGCCACCAGGAAGAAAAAGCACTCAGGGAAATGCTTTAATTTTTGAGCAAACCCTAGTTGAAGGTAGGCAGAAGTGTCTGAGAACTGATGCACAACCCAAGGATACCTTCCTCTACTGATGAAGAACTGAAGCTTACAAGCACAGAAGAAAGCCTTTTATCCATAAGTGGTGCATTTCTGAATGTGCAACAGTCTCTCAATGAACCATGCTGAAAGAAAAGACAGAGTTCCCTGGCCTACCCGAAAGATTTTGTGCATCCTCATGGTGGCTGAGCAGAAGATGAATCTTGTTAGAAGTAAACGAAGGAATTCATCTCCAAAAAACTGGAGAAAGGCCTGATCTGCAGAGAGGAAAAAAGATGGCAATTATAGAAAGCTGAATTCAGAAAGGTTCTTCATACATTTCTGAAAGAGAGAAATGGGACTGCAGTATTTTCTGCCTCCCCAACCTGAGACTCTGCACTTAAAAACAGCCGTTAGCTATTTTCAGCTGCAAAGCCCCTTCCATTGAAGCATACCTATGGAACGGGAATGAGTCAGTAATTGTGCAATATCCCGATTTATTTTTCGAAGGTAATCATGACACTTGTCCCACAGTCCTCTGCGCATGCTTGATAATCCAGAGACAAACAGGAATGATCCATTTTGCTGAAATTCCATAACACTTCTATGATTCCACATTGAACCCCAGAGTCCTGATCAATTAGGTTTTATAAAACATGATCATATTTGAATTTTGGCTTGTCTGTAGCAGGAAGGAGTTCTATAACTGGGAGGATAGCCACAGAAAATGTATAATATTAGCATGTTAGCATCAAATGCTACAAACACCATTATCCCAGTGAAGAAAGAAGCACAATACCTTCATGGAATAGATCCCAACCCCAACCTCAAACACAAGAATTCTCTTCACAACCAGCACCATCCCAATTATTCTCTACAATGAAAGCTGTTCCTTCGAATTCCACTAGCTTTTAGCTGCATTCATATATTTGAGACTAAGTAGAACAAGGGAAAGCAAAGGTCGCTGGATTTAAGGCTATGATCAGTAGGCACATCACCCTTTCCTCTCCTGCTGGAGACATTCAGAGTTGTTGTTTTTAAAGGTAAGTTCTATTATTTTCAGCATTTCTCTGGACAAGTTTAGTGTTATTTTCACAGGGACAACACTTATTTCTTTTCAACTGAAAAGCCTTTCAGCACATAATAGAACTTACCTCAAAAGTCAAAAGAGTGAAGGTCTCCAGCTTCTCATGCATTCACTGCTGACCATCACCTTCCTGTGTCACAAATTATGTCACCAGACTGGACTTCATGCTGGGAAAGGGGCAGCTCTCTCAGAGAGAGACACACCAGAACCATTTACAGTTATAGGGACTGGAAAAATGGGTTGCAAAGTTAATAGATATAGAGAGCTTTCACTGAGCAAATATTTAGCTCCCTAATCAATTGATCAGTAGTCACTGCAGAGTGTCCCATTAAAGTTAGGCCAGACAGCTTACCACAGCTTCCATTGTGAGACAGCATATCATTTCTTTAGTCATCCAAACCTAAAAGCTCATGGAAACATGCCAATCCAATTCTTTTTGAGACTCATGACCCTTGCACTTATACAATAAAGGTGCTTCTGAAGGCAGATGCACACTTCAGACACACCGGCTACCATTTGCCTCACACTGTGCAATGTATCTTGATTGATTGATGTATCTTATGGAAGGTCTGTAGCCAGAAAGAAGCCATCTATAGAAATAAAATGTTCCAAGCTTCTTCCTTTCCACCCCAAACCAGTTTTGTTTTGGTTTTCTCTCTCAGTGGAAATGTGTGGAAACGTGTGTCAGGGTGGACTATTCTCTCACCTCACCACCCCTGATTTTTCTTAAAAGCTTTTAATGTTGTCTAAATTGACCACTTCAGCCAGAAGCCAAAGTACACACATTTGTTGAACAATGAGTATGTCTGATTGGCTACCATCCAACAGCAGTGCTGTGGACCTGTTCTGAGGCTGACGACCCCAGGCTTTTTGTTGTATTCCTAGTAATTTCAGAAAGCATAACTGGCAGTGAAGTCCTTGAATATTCTACCAATATATATTCTACAAGAATTAGTCTGCTGCAGCCAGGATGACCAAGAATCTGGTGGTACCTCAAGGCTAAGGAATTTGTTGATGCACAAGCTTTTTGAAATGCACAAGCTTCATCAGATGCACAACTTTCTGCAGTTCTGCTGCTGGAACAAAGGGTGATGGACAGCCCAACTGCAGTTTGCTCAAATTTGAGCAATGCTCCCGCCAGTGAGACAACATGACAAAGATTGTGCCAGAGTAGCTTCATCAAATGTTCAGGCCACATGTTTTCTTTTGGGTAGTAAACTTCAGTTATGACAAGCATGTTCATAAACTGTTTACTGCAGACTGCCAGAAGACGCAGGGTACTCTGCTCACCATGGCTCAGAGACTCAAGCAAAAAAAGTGCTGTCACAGGTTTTTATCTGCAAAGCTAACACCACCATTAATCTGCACTAATACAGGATTTTAGCAAGTGACTGAGATCCTGCTACAGAGGACAAGCACCTTCCCTACCTTGCAACGCCTTTGGATATGTTGTTGGCGAAAGTAGGCACACCAATGGTTGTCCAAATAAATTCGTGAAATTCTGGAAGAGAGCAGATTAAAGATTAAGGACAGACACACAGATTTCAACAATCCTAGAACAATGGTGAAGATGAGGAAGCATGGACCTGATCTAGAAGGATGGCCTTAAGAGCCTCATGTAAGCTGCTCTATAAAAAGGGCAGGCTGTATAATGTCCGTAAAACTCTAGAAATAATAAACTATTGCAGATCTTCTCAGAAGGAGGCTTTGATATTGTCGTTAGACATAGAAAAAGCTTTTGATAGCGTAGAAATCCCATATTTAACATCATTACTAACATACATGGGTTTTCAAAACAAATTTTTAAATGCAATCCATGCTATATACACCTCTCCTAAAGCTCAAATTAAAATAAATGATGCCATTTTGGATGCCTTTTTTCTAAATAGGGGTACCCGCCAGGGGTGCCCCCTATCACCAATTTTGTTTGCTATAGCAATTGAACCCCTCGCTAACTTTATTAGGCAACATAATCTTGTCACCGGTGTTACAATCAATCATATTAATTATAAACTAGGTTTATTCGCAGACGATATGGTAATATATATCACCAACCCAAAGCAAACTTTATCTGAATTGGAAAAAATATTAACAGTTTTTGAACAAATTTCGGGTCTTAAAATCAATCAACAAAAGAGCGTTATATATCCAGTTAACTTGTCATATGATTTAATTAAATCTCTTAAACAACAATTCCAGTATCATTGGACTACCAATCACATGACTTACCTGGGCATTAAAATCCCCCTCGACCTAACTAACTTATTTGCCCTTAACTATTCCTCTCTTATGAAATCTTTAATATCCTCAATGCGAGATTGGCACAAATTGACGTTATCCTGGTTTGATAGGATTTATATTTTCAAAACGATCATTTTCCCAAAACTATTGTTTTTGTTTAGATCTTTGCCAATTTACATTCCATTCAAAACATTGCACGCATGGCAATTAAAATTTATGGATTTTATCTGGAGTTACAAAAAACCGAGAATTAGCTATAAAATACTTTGTAAGCCTCCGAATTTAGGAGGTCTTAACGTACCAGATCTCCCTCTCTATTACAGAGCAGCCCAACTTTGTTCTATTCTTACAATGATGAAACCAGCAGTTCAGTTTAGTTGGCAATATATAACTCAATCTTACGTCCCCCAACAACTTTTACATGAATCAATATGGAACGCTAGATCTGAGAGACCTAAATCAATTGCTTCTAATCCATTTTTAATAAGCAACTTAATGGTCTGGGACACCCTTAAAAATAGGCTGGTGTCCTCCCCATCTTTTTTATCTCCATTTTTGGGTCAAAACTGGTTTTTACCAGGAAGTAAATCGAACACTTTTACTATATGGCGTCAAAACAACATGTTTAGATTAATAGATGTAGTAAGAAAGGGTAAACTCCTAAGTAAGGTTAAGCTGGAAAACATAATATCACACTCAATACCAGTATACCAATATATACAACTACAACATCTGGTCAATAGTGACTTAATAAGAAAAAATCTCAACACCCCTTTAACTAATTTTGAATTGGTAATTAAAGCTTCTTTTCATAGCCATAAGGGCCTCTTATCTAAAGTGTGTTCTATATTCCTAAACCCTGTATTCTAGCCTACCAAAAGGCCTGGCTAAATGAGTGTAACTTACAACTAACAGACACTCAATGGTCCGATATATGGACCTCAAATATCTATTCCACCAATATTATAAACATCAGACAATTATCTTTTAAACTATTAACAAGATGGTATATTACCCCTGTCAAATTGAATCACGCAAACCCTTCTATCTCGCCGTTTTGTTGGAAACAATGCTCCCAGAAGGGCACATCATGGGTTGTTCAGAAAGAAGGTGAAGAGGCTACCTCGTTGGGATTGATCTAGAAGTCAATAGAAGAATGACAACATGACATGCTTGGCATATAAAACAAGAGAGATTGTTGCACATAGTAGAAGCCCTGCAGCTCTCGCTGAAATGTAGAGAGAAGCCATTTAAAAATCTCCCACCACTAGATAAAGTAATCTTTCATAAGGCTAAACACTCCCCCACAACTTGCATGAAACTCAGATTTCTTCTGTTTTGTGTGCAACATGTCTCTCTTTTTGGTACAGTTAGCCATGAGAACTTGCTACGGTGGGCACTTTTAATTTCTTTAGCTGCATAACCTATTGTATCCTGAAGGCTCAAGTTGGGTAAGAAATGTAAATATCCTAAAAAAAATAAGATTTCATCCATTTTGCTGAAATTCCATAACACTTCTATGATTCCACATTGAACCCCAGAGTCCTGATCAATTAGGTTTTATAAAACATGATCATATTTGAATTTTGGCTTGTCTGTAGCAGGAAGGAGTTCTATAACTGGGAGGATAGCCACAGAAAATGTATAATATTAGCATGTTAGCATCAAATGCTACAAACACCATTATCCCAGTGAAGAAAGAAGCACAATACCTTCATGGAATAGATCCCAACCCCAACCTCAAACACAAGAATTCTCTTCACAACCAGCACCATCCCAATTATTCTCTACAATGAAAGCTGTTCCTTCGAATTCCACTAGCTTTTAGCTGCATTCATATATTTGAGACTAAGTAGAACAAGGGAAAGCAAAGGTCGCTGGATTTAAGGCTATGATCAGTAGGCACATCACCCTTTCCTCTCCTGCTGGAGACATTCAGAGTTGTTGTTTTTAAAGGTAAGTTCTATTATTTTCAGCATTTCTCTGGACAAGTTTAGTGTTATTTTCACAGGGACAACACTTATTTCTTTTCAACTGAAAAGCCTTTCAGCACATAATAGAACTTACCTCAAAAGTCAAAAGAGTGAAGGTCTCCAGCTTCTCATGCATTCACTGCTGACCATCACCTTCCTGTGTCACAAATTATGTCACCAGACTGGACTTCATGCTGGGAAAGGGGCAGCTCTCTCAGAGAGAGACACACCAGAACCATTTACAGTTATAGGGACTGGAAAAATGGGTTGCAAAGTTAATAGATATAGAGAGCTTTCACTGAGCAAATATTTAGCTCCCTAATCAATTGATCAGTAGTCACTGCAGAGTGTCCCATTAAAGTTAGGCCAGACAGCTTACCACAGCTTCCATTGTGAGACAGCATATCATTTCTTTAGTCATCCAAACCTAAAAGCTCATGGAAACATGCCAATCCAATTCTTTTTGAGACTCATGACCCTTGCACTTATACAATAAAGGTGCTTCTGAAGGCAGATGCACACTTCAGACACACCGGCTACCATTTGCCTCACACTGTGCAATGTATCTTGATTGATTGATGTATCTTATGGAAGGTCTGTAGCCAGAAAGAAGCCATCTATAGAAATAAAATGTTCCAAGCTTCTTCCTTTCCACCCCAAACCAGTTTTGTTTTGGTTTTCTCTCTCAGTGGAAATGTGTGGAAACGTGTGTCAGGGTGGACTATTCTCTCACCTCACCACCCCTGATTTTTCTTAAAAGCTTTTAATGTTGTCTAAATTGACCACTTCAGCCAGAAGCCAAAGTACACACATTTGTTGAACAATGAGTATGTCTGATTGGCTACCATCCAACAGCAGTGCTGTGGACCTGTTCTGAGGCTGACGACCCCAGGCTTTTTGTTGTATTCCTAGTAATTTCAGAAAGCATAACTGGCAGTGAAGTCCTTGAATATTCTACCAATATATATTCTACAAGAATTAGTCTGCTGCAGCCAGGATGACCAAGAATCTGGTGGTACCTCAAGGCTAAGGAATTTGTTGATGCACAAGCTTTTTGAAATGCACAAGCTTCATCAGATGCACAACTTTCTGCAGTTCTGCTGCTGGAACAAAGGGTGATGGACAGCCCAACTGCAGTTTGCTCAAATTTGAGCAATGCTCCCGCCAGTGAGACAACATGACAAAGATTGTGCCAGAGTAGCTTCATCAAATGTTCAGGCCACATGTTTTCTTTTGGGTGGTAAACTTCAGTTATGACAAGCATGTTCATAAACTGTTTACTGCAGACTGCCAGAAGACGCAGGGTACTCTGCTCACCATGGCTCAGAGACTCAAGCAAAAAAAGTGCTGTCACAGGTTTTTATCTGCAAAGCTAACACCACCATTAATCTGCACTAATACAGGATTTTAGCAAGTGACTGAGATCCTGCTACAGAGGACAAGCACCTTCCCTACCTTGCAACGCCTTTGGATATGTTGTTGGCGAAAGTAGGCACACCAATGGTTGTCCAAATAAATTCGTGAAATTCTGGAAGAGAGCAGATTAAAGATTAAGGACAGACACACAGATTTCAACAATCCTAGAACAATGGTGAAGATGAGGAAGCATGGACCTGATCTAGAAGGATGGCCTTAAGAGCCTCATGTAAGCTGCTCTATAAAAAGGGCAGGCTGTATAATGTCCGTAAAACTCTAGAAATAATAAACTATTGCAGATCTTCTCAGAAGGAGGCTTTGATATTGTCGTTAGACATAGAAAAAGCTTTTGATAGCGTAGAAATCCCATATTTAACATCAGGAACCGGGAAAACGTGGTTCGCATTGGTTCATGGTGTGCGCAGTTTGCGAACCACGGACTGTCACAAACTTTTTGACATTAGACAAACCCGTTCGGTTTGTGATAGGGTAGAATGGCTAGAAGGGTAGAATGGCTAGAGACACCAAAGGGTAGAATGGCTAGAGACACCAAACTGCTGACTCTCTTCTACCTACCCTCCAAGTTTGGTGAGGATTGGATTTACACCGTCTGAATTACAGCCCCCAAAGAAGATACTCCCAGAAAGCACTATTTAGGAAAATGACAAGCCCAGGTTCATGAGTATATAGAACAGATCCTGTGCAAGCTACAGACACCAAACTCACAGCAGATCTCTTGGTGACTCTCTTCTACCTGCCCTACAAGTTTGGTGAGGATTGGATTTACGGGGTATGAGTTACTTTCCTCCAAAGAAGGTGCTCCCGCCTCCATTGTTTCCAATAGAGGGGGTAAACAGCAAAAAAAAGAAAGGGCCATAGAAGCCCAGCAGAACAGAATCAAAGTCGCAGATAATTTCTGCAGCAGAAACTGAAGGGGGGGCCCTTTTTGCAAGCCCAACAGAACCAATACAAAGCCCGCAGCAGACTAAGGTCAAGCCAGGAAAGTGCTTCTGGGGGAAATGTCAGGCACAGGTTTAAAAGTGTATAGAATGGACCCTCTTGCAAGCTACAGACACCAAATGCACAGGGAACCTCACTCTGACACCTGCTCCTCTACAATCTCTCCAAGTTGGGGGACAGATTACATTTCTGGGATCCCATTTACGGACCCCCCCAAAAAGCAGTATCTGGAGCGCCCCTGAAAGTGGGGGAGGATATCATCAGGACGTTAAAAGACATTCCATTTGAAATAAGACAAAGAAGAAATATAAAGAATTAATTCTTTTTCTACAGACAAATGCAATTGGATATAGATGGTTAACTCCAGAAGGCGTAACCTTCAAAATCAAGGATAAAAAAAGAAAAGATTGACTCTGTCCAAAAAGCACGGGAATTTTTTAAGAGTCCAGATGGGAGGGCCAGGGAAGGAAGGAGAAAAAGGGGAGGGCAGTAAGTCCAATGGCAATCTGGACTCGGAATCCTCTGGGGAGGACTCTCTATCAGAGAAAGGGGTGGCAGCCCCTAAAAGTCCTTATAAGCTTCAGAAGAGACTAGGCAAGGAGAAGTAAAGGCTGAAGGACTCTGAATTGTGCCTTTAAAAAATGTTGAAGTGAGATGCTTTGGGGTGTTTCTGTATGACAGTTAAACTTAAGATTTGAAAAAGATAATGTTAAACTTGACTCAGTTGAAAGTAAGTTAATGGATGGTTAACCTGGTGGGATGATCTCCTCTCTTGGGTTTTTAGTCAGTAGTGGGTATCTTTCTTTATCCTATAAATGTAGTTCCCCCTCCCATTTTCTGTTGTAATTTGTAGTGTTATAAAAATGGAATAAAAAATCCCCTCTGGGGGCTTTTTTAAAAAATATAGCACTTTAGAAGGGCTTTAAATCCCTCTAGGCTTTAAAAGTATTCCAATTTTTTCCTGAAAAATCTCCCTAGTTTTATCTGGGCCCATTGTGCACATTTTTGACCAACACTCTCAGGGTCCAGGTGTCAACATTAGAAGTTTATGTAGTGTACAGTAGACACCACAGACAGTAAAGAATGAAATTCAGCTTCCTGCACATTGTAGCCAGGCAGGAAATTATCATGAATATTTTTAATTCTGTAACATGGAAAAATGTGACTTAAATCCAGAAACTGGAGATCTGGACAGACAAGACAGATTTTTCTACAAACTTGAAAAAAAGTTCCAGGGTTTTCTGAGAAATATGAAATCTGTCTCACAAACACAGGGAGAGTTAAAATAACCCCAGATTGACAGAAGCAGCACCTGTAGCTTTAATAAATGCCTCCAGTGGCTATTGCTAAACAACCACAACAGTGCTGCCAGCTGAAGCCTTGGTTCCAATTAGTAAAAGGCAGGGGGAGGGGCCTCTCCGGGGCTGTTTTGGCTTTTGAGGGAGTATTCATCAGGATCAGGACCAGCAGGAAACACAGGACAACAGCAGGAAACAGCAGGAACCACGTGACTTGTACAACTCACCCAGGACTGGCTGCTTGCTACTGTTCAACAGCAGCCGACCCACAAAAGCCAGTCTGTGCAGTAGTTAAAATCTCAGACTCAGGTCTGGAAGACCTAGGCTCGAATCACTACTCTGCCATGGGAGCTCACTGGCCTTGGTCAGTTACATATTCTCCGCCTAACTTAGCTCACATGCTTGTTGTGAGGACAAAATGGAGGTAGGCTTGCCAAGTCCCCCTGGGGGGCGGGGAATCTGGAACCCCCCGCCCCAGAGGCCCGTTCCCCGCCGGTGGTGGATCGGGCCTCGGGGGGAACCCCACCCCGACGTGCGCGTCACCCGGAAGTGACATGACGACGTCGGGCACGCTGGGGGTGGGGCCACGGTAATCCGTGGGAAAAATCTATGGTTTTCCCTCGGATGGTTGTGGCCCCGCCCCAGCGTGCCCGGCGTCACGTCACTTCCGGGTGACGTGCACGCGCACGCTCCAGCCGCCAGCAGGGAGTCCCCCGCTCTGGCGAATTTTTGACTTGGCAACCCTAAATGGAGGAGGGAATGATATGAACTGCTTTGGGTCCCCATTGCGGAGAAAGGGAGTACAAATGAAATAAATATAACTGAAGTTGGGGGGCGAATAAAAAGTAGGTTGGTGGGTGGGAAAGGAACGAAGGAAGCAGGGAAAGGTGAAGATATGGTTGTTGCCAGGAGGAAGGAAAGAGGAAATCATTGGGGGAAGGGATACAAGGGAGAGGAATCCCCAGCAAGTCCTTGGAGGTTTCCTGCTGTGTAACTGTACCGTGCCCTAGAACTAGCACTTCACAACTTGCCCACAGTTTTCCCAGGACGAGGCTGGGGTGGGGGGGGAGGAGAAAAATCAGAAGATAGGTGGACAGGTAAAGGTAGGTTGGCTGGTGGGTAAGGAGAGAAAGAAGCAGGAAAATGGGAGAGACTTTCAGGAGAGGGAAAGAATAGTGGTGAGCGGGAAATAAGATGCCCCCTGCAAGTCCTTGCAGGGCTCCTGCTCGTTCCCTCTAACAGCCAAGGTAGCTGTCAGCTAGCTGTCATAGAAGATTGGGAAGCCATAGGTTCCCCCCCCCTCTCTCGCCGGGCATCTGCGCATGCCCTATCTTCCCTGTGTACAGTCTTCTCTCGTGCATTCCTGTCTGTAAATGCTAGGCAACGCTTATCTGCAAGATTAACAGGTGTGTGGGGAGAGCTGCTTTGCTAACTGTATAATGAACTGCACCGTGTGAAGCTGTAATTGTTTAGGTTTCGGGACCGTTGCTTCTCAGGCCTTTGAGCGCACAACCTGCAGTCCGCCCGCTCGGCGGGAATGGAGATTATTGGTTCTGGTCCTGTTTGAATGTATTACATTATTCCTTGCCCACCCTGGCCCAGGCATTCTGGACAGTGAACTTGTTCCTGCTCTATCATGGCTTTAATAAAATACTACTTTGCTTAAACGTGTATTGGATTAATCGCTGTGAGGGGGACCGGACAGTAGCCCAGTGCTTTGCAGTAGTGCAGAACAATGGGGACATCCACAGAAAATGTTTTCTGTGTACTTGGGGGGACACCTCAGCTATGCAAAAACAATACTTTGTAAACTCTCTTCCCTCTTGAGAAGTCCAAACAGCAGCTTGAGTGAGCAGTGAGCACACCCATTGCTTTCTAGGGGGAACATACTGTAGAAGGCAGTTGTGTATCAGTTAAGGGGAGAGGGAGAAAAGCTGGGTGATGGGGAATTTAGAACTGGAGTATGTGGTATCCTTGGGAGAAGATATGGGTTGATGAAGGAATTGCCCAATCATCCATTCCCTCTGTGATTTCCTGTGTGCACCCCTCCCACAATTTTCTCATCCAGAAGAGACGTTATCACTTCCTAAGATGCTCCTCATAGCAGAAAAGGTAACAGAAGCAGCCCTAAATCAGCATGAACAGGCATATAAACTACTCGGTTTTTATCCAAAATTCAAACTCTTTCAAAGGTTTCAATTCCACTAAAATTCCTACTTACTTGCTAAAATATTGTAGACCAGCTGAGTCTAATCAGAATATTAATCTTCCCACCCCTTTCTTTCTGTATCAAGGTACTGATTAAGCAGAAAGCTTAAGGGTCAAGGTAGCATAGTGGTTAGAGTGCTGGACCAGGGACAGCCAGGTTCTAATCCCGGCTCTGCCATGGAAGCTTGTTGAGTGACCCTGAGCCCGTCACAATCTTTCAGCCTAACCAACTTCACAAAGTTATTATTGCAGGGATACGGTGGAGACAGGAAGAACAATGTGACAAGCTGCTTTGGGTCCCAGTTGGATATAACTAAAGAACAAAATAAAGCCTCATACCCTGTGACAATCCAGGCAGATTTGGGAGCTGGATGCCTGGGCTCAGGTGAGGAATAGTCAGACTGTACAGAAACAGCCTGCCCAAGTAGCTGAAAATGGCTAATGGTACCATCTTGGCAAACACTCACTTTACCAGTGTTGGGTCTCTTCAAACGTACTGCCATTATCCATGGGTTAACACTGTACTGCATAGCGCATCACAGGAGAGCCAGGGAGAGGGACAGAATAAACTCAAAATCTGGAAGTGGGTACAAAAACCCAAGTGATTTTTAACAATGGGCACCTGGCCTTTACACTTGAGAAAAATATGAACCATACTAGACTACTCCTCCACAGAATAATGCAAGGGACAGCAAATGGAGCACTAGAATGCTGCATCCAGAAAATATGAATTCCAAGACTTTAGACTCATTTCCTTTGTAAGCACAGAGACCTTACCTTGTAGGCAACACTGTTAGATGAGTCCACTATGATAAACATGGGTTTCCTGGTGAAAGGATAGAGATCTCCAGGGTGCAGGCTAGAGCAAAGGACAAGAAATATTGAGAGGTACACTGGGAAGCCAGAAAGAGATGCAGCCATTCCACACATGCTCTGTTTTCCCTTAGTTATTCACCTGATTCTCACCAAAGGAGGGAAACCAGCTAGAATGTAGTCTGTTATGTAACACTCCTCCTCCTGGTAGGCAAACAGTAAGCAAACCAAACAAGTCATCAGGATTGCTCTATTCTCCTTTGTGTCAGCTACACTGCCATTGTACGTGGGGGGAGGGAGGCCGCTGGGTGAGCATCTTCAGGTTCTGGAATGTTAGCTTTCACTTCCTCCTGCTGTGTCTTATCTAATAGCCTGACCTTGGTGCTTCGGGCTCTTAGCTCTGCCTGGGAACCGGCTCCCGTTATTTTCTGCACGTAAGGCTTGCACCTCTGATTGGCTCTGCTCCATCAGGGGGTCCCCCTTTGAACGCAGTATATCTTCCCCTCTCCCACCTGTTGGGTTAGCTCCAACACAGAATGTATGCAGAGATGACCTGCCTTTACTGTCTTCAATAAACTTGATCCTTCTGAAGGAACGTTGTTGAGACTGATTGCTGTGGGACTCTGACACTTTGCAATTGATTAAGACTCCTGTCCCTGGTATTATGGCTCACAATTGACCAGAATTACAATGCCTGGGCTTGGGCGCCTTTAAACCACAATCACCCTGGAGTGAACACCAGAGTTGTTATACGTCCCACAGAAACAAAATAGCTTATCCAGGATGCACCCACCCAAACATTCTCCAGGGATCTCCCCCCCCCCCACTGCCCCCAACTTTACTTATTTATAAAGGTACTTGAAGTCTACACAAACACACACAGACCCCTGCTCACAGGCTTGTAATTTAAGCATGCATGGGTGTGAATTTGGACAGTTTTTCTAGCCATCACACAGCTCCTGTTAAATCCTGTTGGAAGTTTGGTATACATTTGTTTGTGCACATTTTTTGGACAGATCCTTGTCTCAAATAGGGAAGTACAGGAGGTAGGTAGAATGTACACGAAACACAGACAATTCAAGGCAGATCATAGGGATAGACCCACAGCAGTTTTTTTAAAAGCATATTTAACATATGGGAGAACATTTTATCCCAAGTGCAGGAGGCTGCCTGAAACGTTCTCTTCCAGCTACTCACCAATGCATCTCTTTGTATGACTGGTTCCGCTTGTGGATGCCATCCCCATTTATAACATCTCGATTGCTGTTTGTCAGAACACCCCCAAAATCATAGGGACCTACAGGTAACAACACAGGAGCCAAGATGAGCAGCAGCAATACAGTGAGGCTGACAATGAAACAAACACGGCATGTAAGAAACAGTGCCAACTGGGAGAAAAGTAGAATTTGTCAAAGATGGCCAATTGTAGCTGGACAACAGGTTTGTGCACGTAAGCTAAAACAACTTCTACATTCCAACTTTGTAATGAAACAAATCCTCTGTTTTGCAATGGTTAATTTTGGAAAACAGAAAACAAGGTAAGGTTACTGCATCCCTTTATAATCCGTCTATCATAGATTAAAATTTGGTAGAGTCACCAAAGACAAGGTAACATTGCCAGTTTGGGGCTGCAGGCCATCCAGTTTTAGGTTACATAGGTTACACATCAAAAAGGTATCTATGCTATTAAAGGCTACTTTAACGAGAGCCGTGTT